CAGCTACTTGGGAGGCAGAGGCAGGAGACTCGCTTGAGCCCAGGAGTTGGAAGTTGCTGTGAGCAGTGAAACCATAGCACTCTACCCAGGGTGATAGCTTGAGGCTCTGTCTCAAAAAAAGAAAAGAAAAGGGAATTTGAGGCTGGGTGCAGGGGCACATGCCTATAATGCTAGCACTCTAGAGGCTGAGGCAAGTGGATTGCTTGAGCTCAGGAGTTCAAGAACAGTCTGAGCAAGAGTGAGACCCTGTCTCTGCTAAAAATAGAAAAAATTAGCGGGGCATATGGTGGGCACCAGTTATTCGGGAGGCTGACACAATTGCTCTAGCCCAAGAGTTTGAGGTTGCTGTGAGCTATGATGTCACAGCACTCTTCCCAGGGCACAGAGTAAGACTCCATCTCAAATAAATAAATAAGAGGGAATTTGGACACATAGACACCAAGGATGTGCATACACACAGAAAAGGCTGTGTGAGGACATTATTAGGAATCTGCAAGTGTCTCTCTTAGTCCACTTTGTGCAACAAAGTCCCTGAGTAATTTATAAAGAGCAGAAATTTATTTCTCATAGTTCTGGAGGCTGGGAAGTCCAAGATCAGGTGCTGGCATCTGACAAGGTCCTTCTCACTATCTCATCATACACCAGATATGCAAAAGAATGAGAGAGGGTAAGAATGAAACATACATCCTTTTATAAAAACCCACTCCCTCAATAACAACATTGATTCATTCAAGAGAGCAGAGCCCTTATGGCCTAATCACTTCTTGAAGGTTTCTCCTTTTAATATCATACAATAGTGTCTGTAGTTCAGTGAGTAGGGCGCCGGCCACATGCACCAAAGCTGGAGGGGTCAAACCTGGCCCAGGACAGCTAAACAACAATGACAACTGCAACAACAAAAAAATAGCCACAGCTACTTAAGAGGCTGAAGCAAGAGAATCACTTAAGCCCAAGAGTTTGAGGTTGCTGTGAGCTGTGACGCCACAGCACTCTATCCAGGGCAACAGCTTGAGACTCTGTCTCAAAAAAAAAAATAATTTCTATATTTATATATCACACAATGGCAATTAAATTTCAACATGAGCTAGGAGGGAGCAAAATTCAAACCATATACATAGCAGCAAGCCAAGAAGTAAAGCCCCAGAAGAAACCATTTATGCAAACACCTTGCACTTGGACTCCTCCTTCTAAGACAGTGATTAAACACATTTCTATTGTTAAAGCCACCCAGTCTGCACTATTTTGTTATGGCACCCAAAGCTAACTATATGCTCAGCAGTATGGCCAAATGGAAATATACCTCTTCTTTTCCATGACAATTACCCTCACAGTGAATCAGGGGTTGTTGTCATTAACACCTTCACGTTGGTATCTAGAGGAGTCAGTGTTTTCCAGGAAATGTATTTTTTATTTTTTTGAGATGGTGTCTCCTTCTGTTGCTGGGCGAGAGTGCTGTGGCATCAGCCTCATTTCCAGCAACCTCAAACTCCTGGGCTCAAACTGATCCTCCTACCTCAGCCTCCCAAGTAACTGGGTCTACAGGCACGTACCACCAGGCCAGGCTAATTTTTCTCTGTTTAGTAGAAATGGGGTCTCATTTTGCTCAGGCTGGTCTCAAGCTCTGGAGCTCAAGGGATCCTCCCACCTAGGCTTCCAAGAGTGCTAGAATTATGCACAGTCCCTGTGTCATCAGGGCAGCAGGAAAGAACCATAAGATTTCTCAGCATTGAGGCTCAGCACCTGTAGCTCA